GAAAGCATGAGAAGTAATGTGGGCAAGTCACAGCTGAATCCCTAGCAAAGGAATGGAAACTTCACTATACAACTATAGGGAACAGACATGAACCAAGTTTCAAAGAACATTTTCCCCTAAAGATCTGACCCACAAAAACTATAAGAAATCTTTGTTGTTTTAAGCTACTAAACAGGTGATTGTTTCTTAGGACAATAGTAGGAAACAAATACATTTAGCCTTAGGCTGGAAGAAGAAGAAGGTAAAGAACAAAGAAGAGTCATTCCTCACAGAATGAATAATACAAATGCAGGGATTAACCTTGAAAAGAATGATGGAGGAGGAGGATGGGAGACAGACAGAAGATAGGGATTCTAAGACTTCAGAGTCAGAAATTTGTTGATATTGACCTATGAGGGCAATGAATAGTGATAATGGTGCAGTGATCATTTCTGATGTCATTTCCTAAAAAGACTGGCTTAAAAGTAGTTGCAATGATCATGTTCACAAAGGTCCCATCCCTTGCTTAATAATCTTCTATCATCATGAAAGTCTTAATTATTTTTTCTTTGAACACGCATTTTGTAAGATTAGTCTAATGGTACAATGTTGTGAATACACATCCAACATCAGTATTTGCCTCATCATTCACATCAATTTCTCACTATGCCTCAGGGGCACAGAATTCTGATTGATCTACTATGAGTGGGCATTCAAGGAGGCTCACAGAAGAGAATAGGAGAGAAAAGGGTGACAAAGAAAAGAGAGAAAGTAAGAGATCAGAATAGAGAATACAATATACCGATAAGATATTTTATTTTTCTCATTCCTTGTGAAGTTACTGGAAATTTTTTTCTGGTTCCTTTCTACATTTATCAACTAATTATCTTCTTTCTCTCCCTCAACAGATATGCTACAGAACAAATCCCTAGAGAAGGCTACCTGAGTTTTCACATCTGAGCATCACAAAGAAGCAATAAATAACCTCACTTACCAAGACTTTTATAAGAGGAAGCTGGAATATGGAGGTGAACTGAATACATAGAGTGAGCTCAGAAATCTAAGAACAGGGGTTACTTTCCCTGTCTCTTACCACATCTATCTGAACCTGCAAAGAGACATAGCTCTCACTCACCCAATCAAAACTCCACCTAAGTCATTTCACGATTATATTGTGCTACAGAGATTCCCATGGAGACTGTACATCTTTATTCAGAGCTTCAAACGCAGCCTGTTCCACCTGCAAGTGCTTGTCTCTGATCCACATAAGTTCTTGAAATCATATCCTGCAACAACTGTGTTCAGTAAATAAACTCAGATTTCGTTTACTTCATTGAAGTATAGGACTGACAGTAGAACCTGCTCTTACCCAATCTTTCAGGTCCTCACACCCATAGATTTTGAGAGTACTTTCCAACCCCCATTTGAAATCTTCCATGGATGGAAAGAATAAGCCAAGAAGATAAAATGCACTGACTTCAG